AGAAAGAAAGAAAAAAGAAAGAAAGAAAAGAAAAAAGAAAGAAAGAAAAGAAAGAAAGAAAGAAAAAAAAAAGAAAGAAAGAAAGAAGAAAGAAAGAAAAAAAAAAGAAAGAAAGAAAGAAAGAAAGAAAGAAAGAAAAAGAAAAAAAAAGAAAGAAAGAAAGAAGAAAGAAAGAAGAAAGAAAGACCCCCTTATTTTTTTCATTACTATAAGAATATTTTTTTTTTTTTTTTGCTATTCTGTCTTTCAGTCTTCAAACTGAATGGTTGCGGTTTGTAAGAAAGAACCCTAACTTACATTGCATATTCCACAATCACTACCTCTAGCATTCTGACCATGAAAACCATCACAAATCAAGACAATTTTATCCCAAGGTTTGTTGCCATTGTTTTTTTTAAAACAAATTTGTATTTCATTTTCTAATAGCAGAAGAATTGATCAGCTCAAAACACTGGAATAAAGGATACATTGGCCACTTCAAGAGTTACATAGCAAATAATTGATGCCTATAATTATGTATATGAATGGCAAATCCAAAGATTATAGGCATCACATTGATGGAAACAATTTATCTTCTATAAAGACTAAAGTAGTATCTCTCTCTCTCTCTCTCTCTATACAGGATGTTCATAAAGTTTGTGTGCACTTTAAAAAATTTATAACTTTATTTGTATTTGCGATAGAAATAGTTGAACCCAGCATGTGGCACCTTTGGAAAGTGCCTGAAAAACCATACCACGGATTGACCCAAGCCTTGTGAGTGAAATTGGATAGATGGAATACTTGGGGGACTGTTGATAGCTATTCAAGCACAAAGTCACAAGTCATCGTGACCGAGGTTTTGCGAGGGCTAGCCTTGTTTTGATTGTTGATCATGCTAGATAATACACTCTCCCCAAGAAGCTATAACAAAGGTCTGCTCAGTATAGTTGCAGTATAAACCACTTGAAAGTTCAAGAAAGAAATTCGGATTACTAACACATAGAAAGAGAATGTCTCATATCGAGAATATTTAACATCGAAAAACAAAGGAGAAAAAAATGAATTATTTTTAAGAATATGTGGAAATCTCCACCCTTTACCTGATGATGGTTGCAAGACCAGAAACACGTGTAGGAAAATTATGGAAAATAAAGCATAATATTTTTTAAAAAAAAATCCACATTACAACCAAAAACGTTTGTGGTATCTCTCTTCTTTTTAATATACACACATTTCTCTCATTGGAACTACTATAACCTCTTCCTTTTATATGTATACGGTGGAGTAATGGATAGCGGCTTGGATTGAAGAATCGCAGAGCTGAGTTCGATTTCCAGTTGAATCCATTACATTCACTTACGTACTAATATCCTTGGGGAAGGTATGAATCCTCTTCTTCTCCCTCCAGCTATGGGTAAAATAGCAGGACAGACTGGGTTCTATAGCCTTGGATGGCGACTGGTCTAGAAGAAGGAAAACTCTGAATTCAAAACCTGCGGAGGGTCGTTTGGGAACCTTGTTGCATTCGGTGCACCAGGTCTCTGTATTCGTCCCTTCAAAAAGTGTGGATGGTCCTGCACGAGGCCTTCACCACTATAATCAAATCTCATTTGCTGGTGTCGGGTTGTCGGTTTCCTGGAAACTGATCTGATTGACCCTCATACGTCGAATCTCGACGGGAGAGTCGATTATATATATATATAAAATACACATATATATTTATATATTTAATACATGTGTGGGTAGGCGTGGAAGGTGGGGGTCTGATCTGTGTGTTGAGGGGGCACCTGATCTATGTGCATATCTGTGTACATGGATATTATCTTTGTGCAAGTGTGCATATATATATATGCATACACAAGCTGTTTAAATATTATCTTTTAGATTACATTAATATTCTGACACATTATTTTGCACTCATTATGATTATCTAAGTAGTGACACAGCAAAAAGTAGATAAAGAAACACCTGTAAATTATTTTGTCACCCTCATAAGATCACAAGTAGCACTTAATAAAGTATGTCAAAAACTTTCATTTACTGAAATTATCATTCCATACAGATTGACACAGCAAAAAAAAAAAAAAAAAAAAAATTCATTAGAAATTATTTAAATATCAGCTCGTTTATGAAGGTACCTAAAAAAGAAATATTGATACCCAAGTTTCAAAGGCATTTAAAAATAAGAAAACCTTTCCTGAAGCTTTAATTTTAGTTTTAATTCCAAGCTATCAGATTAAATTTAATATTTCCATTAAGCAAAATAATTTGCTGTATTTCAAAGTGAATTTAAATTGATTTGGAAACTTTTTGTTTTCTCTTTATCAGTAAAATCAACAAATCTGTCAACACAGCATAAGTCCCTTTATTAAAAAAAAATCTTTAAATAAAATATACTTTTCTGAAATGTTGAGGGAGATTAACTGATTTAAAGTTTAATTAATCTGAATTGAAAAAATATATTACATACTTTTAGTTTACAATATCAAAGAAATACATCTTTTTTTTTTTTTTTAACATGGAGTGGGTCTTTTTCTGAGTTGAGTGATTTATTGACAGCCTGATGTTTGCACAATTTAAGTAAAGGGGAACAGAACTGAAAGAAATTACTTGATTATGTGGTAATCCCTTTTTTATATAATTGTTTTTTTATTTTTTTTTAATTACGAAGTAATTTTTAAAATATTTCAAGCAATAACTTGTTGAATTTTAGATACTTTGGCTAGCCTTACTTATGAAGATTCTTGTTGTGAAAAAGATAATTACTAAGAAATTTTTAATTTACTATAGTTAATCTCTCTTATTTTCTGACAATCTCATGTATGGATGTTCATATTTACAAAAATTGACCCATTTATACGGGCATAAAATAAATGCGAAATTACTTTTTAAATATTGAATTGTAGTGACCGTTTCCATTTATAATTAATAAATGCAGTTTTAATTTAATAACAATATAACTTGCCCATTACAAATTAATCCAGAATTTTAAAAGTTTATAAATTATCCTAATTTAAAAAAAAAAAAAAAAAAATTCTTTGTAAAAATTTATTATTCATTAAAAACTTTTTTTTTTCCATAAGTCGATAGTGTCCATAACATATTTCATTCATAAAAAGCAATTAAAAGCTTTTCTAATTAAATAATGTCTTAGTTTTATTTCATTTTTTTATTTTATGATTCAGGGCTAATTTTGTATAACTGAGGTTCCTGTTTGAAAAAGAAAAAAATTTCATGGTTTAAATTCTCCAAGGACTTTTTCTTATAACAAATATAAACATTAATTGATACAAAAATGAATTTCTTGAGATTTCATAAAAATTAAATGAGAGAGGGAGTATGTGTGTTTGTGTTTTTTTTTGGGTGGGTGGGTAAGTAACCGATATATATATATATATATATATATATATATTATATATATATATATATATATTTATTTACAAAGATTTTCTAAAAAGAAACATTTCAAAAGTAATTTGTGAATAAATTCTGAAAGTTTCATTAAAATTTGACAATCATCTGATTTTGGCAAAATTTTCAAGTCAACATGTTTTTCACTGCAAAATAATGCTTGAATTTCCTGTACAAATTTATGTTCCCATGTTGACACCAGAAAAACAAGATTTTTTTTTTTTTTTTTTTAACCAAAATTTCCAAGGTTCTAAAATGGATTAAAAAAAAAAAAAAAAAAAAAAAAAAAAAAAAAAAAAAAAAAAAATTTGACTAAAAATTGTTTTTTTTATGTTTTAAGCATTTTGTTCATCATGTACTCTCTTTTTTAGCAAATTTTCGGATATACCTATAAAGGTGAATTGGATTGGATATTTTTTTTGAGAGTCATTCTGATTGGTTGAAATTATAGCAACTATGAGTGAAAAATCATAATAGTAGCATTTGGAAAGTGAATTTTCTATTTTATTTTTAAACCAAAAATTTGTGTAAATCTCATAACTCAAGATTGAATGCATTGCCATGGAAATCAGAAAAAAAAAAAAAAAAAAAAAAAAAGAAAAGGAATTTTCAAAGCTCAAGAATTAACAAAATCATAAGATAACCATATATATTTTTATATATAAACAACAGTATGGGGGAAATTGTATGACAAAGTGGAAGAAGTTTACTTGTGATGCATTTCATCCTTCAGGACTTCATTGGACTAAATCTTACTTATTATAAAATGCAGATTGTGTGTGTGTGTGTTTGTTTATATATTGGATCGGATTTCCTACATTTTTCAACCGATTTCAACAAACTTCACAGGACTACATAAAATTACCTTGCGGTGGTTCTGACAGTGCCAAAAATTGGAAAAACACAATTGTTTTTGTATGAAATCAATTTGAAAACATGACTAAGAGGCATCACGAGAATGAAAGGGGGACAACTCATATCAAGTTATACTTATAAAACCCAGGTTGTTTGTGTGTGTGTGTGTGTTTTCCTTTATATATGGGATCAGATTTCCTATATTTTTCAACCGATTTCAACAAAACTTCACTTTTTTTTTTTTTTTTTGGTAGTAGTTTCTTATTGTCTTGCACACTTTTTTCTTTATTTTACATTCAGAATGCTTTAAAAATTCCATTTACAAGACAATTGTTTATAATAAAATTCTATTCAATTGGTAGACTCATAACGATTGAAAACAATATTTTTGTTTGAGTTTGGGTTTGACCAATTGGTAAAAAAAACAAAAAAAAACAAAAAAAAACCCAAAAAAACTAATTAAGACATGCGTGTCCGTCAACCTTAAACAATAATCTTTGTCAATTTTATTTTTCAGTCTTTATGATGGTCAATACTTGATCTATCTCTTACTGTTACATCCCCGGGCAACGCCGGGCTCTACTGCTAGTTTGTTATATTGGTAGGATTACACATGCACACGACAGAGGGGGTGCTGGGAATTTTAGAATTTTTTTATTTTATTTAGCTGAATTCATTTAAAGACTTTCTTTTCTTTCTATCACTTTTGTAAGTAGATATTCCACACCGTGATCTGCCAGGAATGGTAAAATGTTGTAAGAGCCAGGGTGCAAATTTACTGTAGATAACCTTGCGATTAAGGCACTCTCTAGACATTTACGTTGTAGTGAATTATTTTCTCCTTTGATCATGGTAGCATTTTTTATGTAAAAATTGTGGTCAGTCTTGTTACGGTAGGCAACCAACACATTTGACATTATTTTGTAAAATGTCTCTTCTGTGTTCATATAATGATGATTGTGTTTAAGCATGAAACAGACAGTTGCCTCTGGGTGTTGACTTCAATATCCACTTTTATATTTACATAGGCTCTATTCTTGATATTGAGCACTTTAACCCATAAATATAGCATACCTTAAAACTATATATATATATATATATATATATATATATATATATATATATATATATATATATATTACGCACTGTTACAATATTTGTTACAATATTTATTGCTTTACTTTTTTATTTAGCCCTGTTTTAAATTAATGTTTTCAACACTGAAATTTTACTCCTTGTTCTTTTATATTTGGATTTGTATTCTTGAAAATATATTTCAGTTGACCACTTGAGAGCCTAATTCTACTAACAGCAGCCATCTATGCTAAAATGCAAAGGTCTTCGATAAAATGAATACTGGCTGACTGGTGTTTGTTTACAATCGTAAAAAAACAATACACTAGAATTAGCACTTTCTCTCTGCCAAGTGCCAATGACTTAGGGGTAGAAACTCCGACTAACACCAAATTGGTTGGGTTTCAATCCTGGCTTGTGGCTTTCAGACATCTAGTCGTACTGAGGTGTTGTGATACAGCAAAACAGTACTGTCTGTGAACAACACACACGCATTATATATATATATATATATATATATATATATATATGTGTGTGTGTGTGTGTGCAAATAAATTGAAAAATAGGAAAAGAACCATTAGGTTAATAATCCAAAGTTCTTTAGTATTTTTTTTTATTTTAAAAAACAGTGCTCAATACACAAGTAGAGCCTACATTATTTTTATCGCTATATATATATATATATATATATATATATTTTAATTCATAACTTACTTTTCTCTCTCTCTCCATATATATATATATATATATATATATATATATATATTCATTAGATATATATATATTATTTTTATATTATTTTTATATATATACAGTGTAACCCGGATATAAGAGAGTTGTCGGGACCGGAGAAGAAGTCTCTTATATCCGGGTTTGGTCTATTTTATATACATTAACACAGGCTCTAATTTGGGACCAGAGAAAATCTCTCTTATATCTGGGTTACAGTGTATATATATTTTTTTCATTTCAACTTTTGGAAGTAAAGTCTGATGATCCAGAGACCTTTAAAAGGGTTGTGGTGAAATAACTTATTACATGGAACCTTAAAGTGGTCTGTTTTTATTCAAACATATATATATATATATATGTGATTTTGATTATAGTGGTAAAGGTTTTGTGCAGAACCATCCACACTTTTTGAAGGGCTGAATACAGAGACTTGGTGCACTAAGTGCCACAGGGTCCCCAAACGACCCTCCGCATGTTTTGAATTCAGAGTTGTCCTTCTCCTAGACCAGTTGCAATTCAAGGCTATAGAACCCAGTCTGTCCTGCTATTTACCCATAGCTGGAGGGAGAAGATGAAGATTCATACCTTTCCCAATGTTATTAGCATGTAAGTGAATGTAATGGTTTCGAGTGGAATTCAAACTTGGTTCACAGATTCCTCAATCCAAGCTGCTATCAATTACTCCACTGTGCCTTCTCTCTCAAATCACATGTGCTGGTGTCAGGCTGTCAGTTCCTAGGAGCTGAGCTGCCTGACTCTCATATGTTGGATATGCCAGGAGAGTCGAATATATAATGCACATTGGGTGCAAGGATTAAAGCAGTACTTGATATAAAATAACAGAACTAAGACATAAGAATTATATTGTTGTGTCTTAATACATGTTGCATGCAATGATATTTTTTAAATATGCTATACTTTGGCAGCAATTATTGTTTTTGCAAATGTCTTATTAAAAATAGACATTTTATGTCTATTAATTTTATCGATCTTTTCTTGCTTGCATCCATCAATAAATTTAATAGATATAAAATACCTATTCTTTTTTTTATTATACATGTTTCTTTGAATGTGACAAGGAAATTTTATTATTTTTATTCAGTTTTTCTAATGTTCTTACAGCTTTTATAAGGATGAAGATGCATATATAATTATTTATTTAAAAATGTGATTCCAAAACGTGACATAAGAAGTCTCATGTTTCAAAACAAGAGCCGAAAACTTCGATATAATTATTTGAATGAAATTGAGTTAAAGTAAGCTCTGTTCCATCTTCAAGCGAAATTTTTTTGGAATAACGTATATCTGAAATTTATGTGTTTTCGGGTCTTGTTTTGAAACATGAGACTTCTTATGTCGCGTTTTGGAATCATATTTTTAAATAAATAATTATATTTATGCTCTACTTTTGTATCGAGCACTATTTTTTAAAAATAATAACTAAAATACTAAGGGACTTTGGATTATTTACCTAACCAGTTCCTTCCTATTTTATATATATATATATATATATTAGTAAAAAGATATATAATCCAGTGTTCTTATTGATATTTTTATTTTTACAAAACAGTGCTCAATGTAAATTTACAGAGCATAAATATTATAAATTAACTGACTTAAAAATATGGTTCGTTCGCTACACAGGAATTACCATGTTTCAAAAACCGAAGCTAAAAACTTCATGCTTTTAATTTAATTATGTAATTTGAAGTTTTTAGCTTCGGTTTTTGAAACATGGTAATAAATTTATAATATATATATATATATATATATATATATATATATATAGAGAGAGAGAGAGAGAGAGAGAGAGAGAGAGAGAGAGGAGGTGCTGAAAAGTTTTTTTGCACTGACCCACTTTCCAAAATCAGAATTTCTTTTAAAAATCCCATCTCGGTTGGCCTGAGAATTTGGCCTTTCCTTTTCCATCCAAAAAAGTATGGGTTTGCATAATGGTATGACTGCAAAAAATGGAATTAATGCCACTGCCATATGTTTTATCACTAGTATGCCACAATGGTTGGTGAAGAAGCAAACGTGAGAGAGTATGCGAGGGTAAATGACTGGTTCAATTAGCTTACTTGACAGGTTATTTAGATCTGCAAAGCTGTTACCTTCATTATCAACCTTGACAGTATAGTTATAGACTTACTATAGTGATATCCACATGATTGAGAGAGACTGCTGCCAAAAGTGGAGTGGTACTATCCTTGACACTGGGCACTGTTGGATTGCTCCAGGGATAATTCATGTCTGCTCCTTCAACAATGAGGTTTCGTACTGTGTCCTTATCATTACCCATTACAGCTAAATGCAGTTGGCGTTCACGGTGGGGCATGCCTAGAATGGCTGCCTCATTCTTGCTCCATTTTGAGTTTCCCATTGCCTGAACAAAAAAAAAAAAAAAAAAGAAAAACATATCCTCAATGTCATCAGGTGCAATTCACAAAAGATTTTTTTGAAACAATTATAAAAGTAATGAAGCAAAGAAAAGCACAAACCATATACAAGAATTAAAAAAACAAACCTAAAAAAAAAAGAAAAAAAAGAAAAAGAGGAAACATGACATGACCAAAAAATATATAAGAAACACCCGCAAAGAAATATAAAACAACAAAGAATTTACAAGGATGGGGGGGTGAAATAGACTCACAATAGGTACACAAAGAAAGGAAGGGAAAAAGAAAGAAATAAAAGTAAAAAAAGAGTGGAGAGAGAGAGAAAGGGAGAAAAAAGAGTGGAGAGAGAGAGAAAGGGAGAAAAAAGAGTGGAGAGAGAGAGAAAGGGAGAAAAAAGAGTGGAGAGAGAGAGAGAAAGGGAGAAAAAAGAGTGGAGAGAGAGAGAGAAAGGGAGAAAAAAGAGTGGAGAGAAAGGGAGAAAAAGAGGAGAAAAAGGAAAAAAAAGAGAGAGAAAGGGAGAAAAAAGAGAGGAGAGAAGGGAGAAAAAGAGGAGAGAAAGGGAGAAAAAGCGAGAGAAAGGGAGAAAAAGCGAGAGAAAGGGAGAAAAAAAGGAGAGAGAGAGAAAGGGAGAAAAAAGAGTGGAGAGAGAGAGAAAGGAGAAAAAAAGGGAGAGAGAGAGAGAAAGGGAGAAAAAAAGAGGGAGAGAGAGAGAAAGGGAGAAAAAGAGTGAGAGAGAGAGAAAGGGAGAAAAAAAGAGTGGAGAGAGAGAGAAAGGGAGAAAAAGAGTGGAGGAGAGAGAGAAAGGGAGAAAAAAAGAAAGGGAGAGAGAGAAAGGGAGAAAAAAAGAGGGGGAGAGAAAAAGGAGAAAAAAAAGAAAAGAGAGAAAGGGAGAAAAAGAATGGGGAGAGAAAAGGGAGAAAAAAAGAGAAAGGAGAAAAGAGAAAAGGGAGAAAAGAGAAAAAGGGAGAAAAGAGAGAAAGGAGAAAAGAGAGAAAGGGAGAAAAGAGAGAAAGGAGAAAAGAGAGAAAGGGAGAAAAGAGAGAAAGGGAGAAAAGAATGGAGAGAGAGAAAGGGAGAAAAAGAGAGAAAGGGAGAAAAGAGAGAAAGGGAGAAAAGAGAGAAAGGGAGAAAAGAGAGAAAGGGAGAAAAGAGAGAAAGGGAGAAAAGAGAGAAAGGGAGAAAAGAGAGAAAGGGAGAAAAGAGAGAAAGGGAGAAAAGAGAGAAAGGGAGAAAAAGAGTGGAAAGAGTGGAGAGAGAGAAAGGGAGAGAAAGGGAGAAAGAGAGAGGAGAGAAAAAGAGTGGAGAGAGAAAGGGAGAAAAAGAGAGGAGAGAGAAAGGAGAAAGAGAGAAAAGAGGAGAGAGAGAAAAGAGTGGAGAGAGAAAGAGAGAGAAAGAGTGGAGAGAGAAAGAGAGAGAAAGAGTGGAGAAAGAGTGGCTCCCCCCTCACCTGAAAAAGAATATGGGGTCAAGAATGGAGCATAAATTAATGTACCATTAAGAAGAAGGAAATGAAGATAAAGCAAGAACAACTTATGGACCACAAACATTTGTGGGAAAAAAAGAAAAATAAGTACAATAAAACAAAATTTCTGCAAGAAGTAAATCTCAAATTATTTCATTTCAAATAATGGTTACACCATTAAATATTTACAGTAGTTTAACCTTCAGATTCCATATAACAACCCCCGCCCCCAACACACAATAAAAAAAGAAAAAGCATGTTAAAAGGACGATTTCTTCTGACAATGTTATTACTATAGACTGCCTCTCGACAATGGTAATTGCATTTTAAAACGCAGTTTTGAATTTTAATAACAGAAATGCTACAAACTATTTAGTTGTTAGATTTTTTAATTTGCAAAATTATAAAAACGTGTGAACCAACTATAAGTAAATTATTATTTACCATTATATAAAGATATATGAAAACAAAACTCTTTATTAAAAAATGTCTGAACTATACAACAAGAAAATTTAAATAAACATGACCTTTCTTGACACATACATTTTCTTCTCAGATTAATTCTTGTTTTATTTTTAATTTTTGTTTTATTATTGTAATCTAGAATCAAAGATGTTTAATCAATAGAAATACCTGGTAAAAATTACAGACATTCTGTAATTATACATGAGGATATGCTTGACCCCCCCATCCAATGAATAGGGAGATACAAATTCATGTGGTCAAAATAGAGTAAAATAGCAAAAAAAAAAAAAAAAAAAAAAAAAAAAAAAAGAAAAAAAAAGAAAGAAAGAAAACAGAAGATACAACCACAAAGAAGAAAAAAAAAAACAAAACAATGAGTGGTGAAATAAAAACTTAAAATTAAAAAAAAAAAAAAAAAAAAATGAAAAACATTAATGATGCAAAAAAAAAAATAAAGAAAGAAAAGAAAAGAGAAAGAAAAGAAAAGAGAAAGAAAAGAAAAGAGAAAGAAAAGAAAAGAGAAAAAAAAAGAAAAGAAAAAAGAAAAGAAAAGAAAAAAAGAAAGAAAAGAAAAGAAAAAAGAAAAGAAAAGAAAAAGAAAAGAAAAGAAAAAAAAAAGAAAAAAAAAAGAAAAGAAAAAGAAAAGAAAAAAAAAAGAAAAGAAAAAAAAAAAAAAAAAAAAAAGAAAGAAAAGAAAAGAAAAAGAAAAAAAAAGAAAAAAAAGAAAAAAGAAAAAAAAAAAAGAAAAAAAAAAAGAAAAAAAAAAAATAATGTACAAAATTTATGGGAGGATAGAGAAAAAAATCCAACTGGGATAAATTTGGTATTAATTTTTGTAAAAAGCTAATGTTAAGTTATTCTATTTCAAATAATGACTACATCATTAATTATTCAATGTTATTTATTGCTTGCATCTTACTTTCTGTTGTAAATTTATTTGTAGGCAAGCCTTTCTTTCTCTTTATTCATCAAATCTCCTACTGGAGGAGTCTGGGATCATTACCTGGCACCTGAGGCATAGCCAAACGGGGGCTTTAGCAATTTTTCATGGTATTACGACTTTAAACTTCAACCTTGTGTCACCTTCAGTAACAACACGGTTACGTTAAAAAATCAACTTATTCATCAAATATCCAAAGTATTTATAATATTCTGTTCAAGTTTTAGGTTAGTGGCCATGACAGAAAGGATTATTTTCTTTAAAAGTCTGATGTCTCCAATACTTGTGTGTATGTGTGTATGCATATATATAAATTTTCAGATAAAGTGTATCTGCAAAGGAATAAAATGAATAAAAAGACAATAGGAAAAACTATTCTTAACTGATGCCTTTTATCGTCTGAGAGACTTTATCGACATTTGCCTTGATTAAATTCCTCAGAGGACAAAATGTGAGAGCTATGAATAGTTTTTTCTCGAGTTTTTATATATATTAGTTGTGTATAAAAAACATAAAAGCAAAAAAACCCAAAACATAAAAGCAAAAAAAACCAAAAAAGCAAAAAAAAACAAACAAAACATAAAAGCGAAAAAAAAAAAATCCCCCAAAAACAAAACATAAAAGCAAAAAAAAAAAAAACAAAACATAAAAGCAAAAAAAAACAAAACATAAAAGCAAAAAAAAAAAAAAAAAAAAAAAAAAAAAAAAGCAAAACATAAAAAAAAAAAAAGCAAAACATGAAAGCAAAAAAAAAAAAGCAAAACATGAAAAAAAAAAAAAAAACATGAAAGCAAAAAAAAAAAAAAAAACATGAAAGCAAAAAAAAAAAAAAAAACATGAAAGCAAAAAAAAAAAAACAAAACATAAAAAAAAAAAAAACAAAACATAAAAGCAAAAAAAAAACAAAACATAAAAGCAAAAACCAAAACATAAAAGCAAAAAAAGCAAAACATAAAAGCAAAAAAAAAAAAAAGCAAAAAAAAAAAAAAAAGCAAAACATGAAAGCAAAAAAAAAAACATGAAAAAAAAAAAAAAACATAAAAAGCAAAAAAAGAAGCAAAACATAAAAAAAAAAAAAAAAAAAAAAAAAAAAAAAAAAAAAAGCAAAACATGAAAGCAAAAAAAAAAAGCAAAACATGAAAGCAAAAAAAAAAATACAAAAACATGAAAGCAAAAAAAAAAATACAAAAACATGAAAAGCAAAAAAAAAATACAAAAACATAAAAGCAAAAAAAAAATACAAAAACATAAAAGCAAAAAAAAATACAAAAACATAAAATCAAAAAAAAAATACAAAACATAAAATCAAAAAAAATACAAAAACATAAAACAAAACATAAAAGCAAAAACAAAAAACAAAACATAAAAGCAAAAAAAAACAAAAAAAACAGAAAAACAGAAAAAACAAACAAACATAAAAGTGTGAATGCACAGAAATTGAGGTGGGTGCACATTTTGTTAAACATAATGTACATTTTTTTTTTTTTGTATTTATATTCATAATTAGGATGGCCCCCACCTGAAGCAAACGAAAAACAGCTTTATGGAATTCCAGAAGACAATCAAAGCGTTTGTCCTTATTCTCAACAAATTTGACCATGGTGACCAGTGCAGTGACAGACAACAGATCCAGACAGGCTGAACCTTTTAGGCAAAGGAGTCAGACAAAATCCCCAAAGTTTAAAGAGTGTGTGTGAGTGTGAGTGTGTGTATGTGTGTGAGAGAAAGGGGAGGGGGGAAACAATATTGAAGATTTATTTGTGATTATCATGAGTTTTGACACAAATTATTAGGTGAGCTGATAAGGATTTTATTTTTTTTTTTTTTTGAATACTCAGAACAAAAGCTGCAGGTGGTTAGGGATAAGAGATAATTATATATATATATATATATATATATATATATATATATATATATATATATAATCCCTCATTGGTAGTACAGTGCAATCTTCAGGTACTGAGTAAAGGGGGGGAAAAAAAAAGGTTTTAAAATATAATTTTTTTTAGTCTCCCTCTTTCTGACACATGTTTCTCTTCTGGTCTCAATTTCAAATCCACACACCTAATTTAAACAAATTTAACTGCAAAAGAGTTGAAAATAAAAAGAACATGAATTTATGGAATTGCCCTAAGGTACCGAATACAAGAGGGTGGAGGAATCTTAAATAAAATGGACAGATAGTTTGCTAAATAAACATTTTTCCAGATTCAACTGGGTGCTAAAGAATTTTGGTAAACACTTTAATCTTGTCACTGCAACTTCCTTGGTGATGATCTGTGGGATAAAAACATTTAAGTTTTACTGAATTTATAAAACCTTAGGTTTGTTTTGGGTTCAAATCTCCCCTCATGATATCCTTATAAGCATCTTTGTAAGTTCTTAGTTAATATTTTTAAACCAAACCTTTTTCCATTAGGTCCCAATCTATATTTTTTTTTTCCAATTAGTATTTTTTTATCCCTTCACTTAGAATTCAATACCTCAAGTCACTAAATGGCATTTCATGCAATATTATGACTCCATCAGGGCCACAGAAATGTTAGAAATGGTGATGACCAACTGAGGACTTGTGTCAGAATTGATCTGCTTCATTATGTAAAAAGTTCCCAGACTCTGCCAAATTTTAGTAAACATTAATCTTGGATATGAAACGTGGGGTAGGGAAAATTAATTTGTGCTAAACTTATTAAATCTTAGTAGGTTTATGTTGGTCTCAAATCCTATTGATGCTTTTCGGGGTTCTGGTTAATATTTTTAAACCGAACCTTTTCCCGTCAGGTCCCAATTTGATTAAAATCTTCTATATTTTTTTTCCCACTTAGTATTTTTATTCCTTTAGAATTCTTAACTCTCTCAATATGCCAAGTCCCTAAATGACGTTCCATGTATTATTATGACACCATCAGGGTCACTGTCCTGTCACAATTTACTTACTTAGGGAAATACTTTATACTCCAAAAAATTTTTCATTATGGTTTGGTTTGGTTTGTTTTATGGCATATCAACCTCAATGGGTTATTTAATGCTGACAAAGTTTTTATTGCTGGTAATATTTTGTTTTGTCGAAAATCTATTTCCGGTAATAATTTTTTCCTTCAAAAATGCATTGCTGGTAATATTTTATCAAAAACGTATTTTGGTAATATTTTTTTTTCAAAAATATATTGCTAGTAATAGATTTTTTTTCTTCAAAAATTAATTGCTGATAAATTCCCCCCCCCAAAGTATTCCTGGTATTAAAACCCATTTTTACCCCAGTTTCAGGGTTAACTATTTGCCCATAGCTGGGACCCTAACAGGTGCTACCACTGCAGGTCAGGGTGGACCTGGGAACACCAGGAATTAAGATGTGGTTTCACACTCCTCAAAACCTCCTGATCAGAGGCCTTGCTGCTGGACATAGTTTATCGTCATACCCAGGACGCTTTACATTATGGGTTCATTAATGAATCAGTTTGAAATATACGATCTTTAATAAATAGCTTATGTTTTCCACTTACCTCTCACAATAACTAAGTCACTAAACAACATTTCACACATTACAAGTCCTATTATTAAGACACCACTGCCCTGTTACAAAAATCCCCTTAATACACCAAGGGTATAAATGTTTTGTGTGGTGATAATACCTGTCAAACTCTCCATTTAAAGGTGGATTAATTAATAGATGCTTTCGA